TCTTTTTTTTCTAATTTGACCACGTCGAAAATCGCCAATTTTTGATTGCTCTGAGGGGAATTAGCTCAAATGGTTAAGCGCTCGCTTTACATGCTAGAGGTAGCGGGAACAATGCCTGCATTCTCCACCTCTGTTTTCATGCCTTTTTACATTGGCTTTTTTTGCAAAGCTGGTGGCACCTTGAGGGTTTAAAGCGAAACTACTTACGTCAGCTTTGCCGGTTGTAGCCATTTTTTTTTCTTTGCCGTTGTCAACTACGGTTTGTAGTACATATCATTGCAAGCCTTCAGAAGCCCTATCAAGTCACAGTTTTCTTTTATTCAGCAGCGTGTCCGCAGTGGGACATCAAAGCGCTAAATACATAGCATTATAGAGTGCTGTCGATCAGGCCATTGGAATCATCGCCAGAAGCAATGTGACTATCTGGGAGGAAGATAGCGTTTTGGTCAAGTGGAAGCAGGTGGACTTAAGGGTGAAGCAGCTAGGCTTTTTGGGTGACTCAGTCACCTGCCCCTTGTGCACAAAATAGAACAACAGCACTGTTTTGCCGAAACCCGGGATCGAACCAGGAACCTTTAGATCTTCAGTCTAACGCTCTCCCAACTGAACTATTTCGGCTGCTATTTCAAAATATCATTCATGTCTCTTAGACTAAGCAGAATCCTGAAATGCCTCTGAGGACTTTAAGGGTAAAAGTTTATCCAGTACGAAGTTCGAACCCGCGACCTTGGCATTATTAGCACCACGCTTTAACCAGCTGAGCTAACCAGCCACTTTCTGTCATGTTTGCTAAAAAGCTCAGTATAAATGTCATTCTCCGGCCTTCAAGAGATAAGAATGCTATTCCAGCTTTTTTTGTGCGGTGCTGGTAAAAAAGTGGAAGCAGGTGGACTTAAGGGTGAAGCAGCTAGGCTTTTTGGGTGACTTTCAGTCACCCAACCCTTGTGCACAAAATAGAACAACAGCATGGTTTTGCTGAAACCCAGGATCGGACCAGGGACCTTTAAATCTTAAGTCTAATGCTCTCCCAACAGAGCTATTTCGTCTGCCCTTTCACAAGTATCCTGTAGCATTCATGTCTGTGAGACTAAGCAGAATCCTGAAATGCTTCTGAGGCCTTAAAGGGTAAAAGTTTGGCCATTACGGGGATTGGACCCGCGCCCCTGGCGTTATTAACACCACGCTCTAACCAGCTGAGCTAACCGGCCACTTGCCACCATAATTGCTAAAAATCTGAGAGTAACTGTCATTTTCCGGCCTTCAAGAGATAAGAATGCTACTCCAGCTTTTTTTGTGCGGTGCTGGTAAAAAAACAAGGTCCCACCGAGATTTGAACTCGGATAGCTGGATTCAAAGTCCAGAGTGCTAACCATTACACCATGGAACCTCAAGTCTTCTGGTTGATGCTGCCCGGGCTAAAAAAAAAAAATGTAAAAAAAAAAAAACGGCCTTGCCAGAAGGTAGCAAAATGTCAATACAAGGCAGTGCCAATGTGCATTGATTTCTGAGTAACTCGTCATTCGGCATGCAGGGCTCATCACACGTTTACTGGAGCAGGACCAGGTAGGGCCTTTAAAAGAAAAGCGCACTATTCCAGGCAATTTGACGACTAAACGGCAGGTAGGGCAAAGAGGCCACCACAGAGCAAATTTGATCTTTTTTTTCTAATTTGACCACGTCGAAAATGGCCAATTTTTTGATTGTTCTGAGGGGAATTAGCTCAAATGGTAAAGCGCTCGCTTTGGATGCGAGAGCTAGCGGGAAAATGCCTGCATTCTCCACCTCTGTTTTCATGCCGTTTTAAAGCGAAAAGGTTTAAAGTGAAACTCTCTTGATTCAATCATCACCAGAAGCGACGTGACCATTTGGAAGTAAGATAGCTTTTTGGTCAAGTGGAAGCAGTTGGACTTAAGGGTGCAGCAGCTAGGCTTTTTGGGTGACTTTCGGTCACCTAACTCTTGTGCCCAAAACAGAAAAACAACACTACTTTACCAAAGCCTGGATCTAACCAGGGTCCTTTAGATCTTCAGTCTAACACTCTCCCAACTGAGCTATTTCAGCTGCCATTTCATAGTTTTTCTGCAGCATAGACTTGTGTAAGACCGAGCAGAGCCCTTAAATGCATCTGAGGCCTAAGAGGGTAAGAGCTCGGCCAGTACAGGGATGGAATCCACAACGTTGCCGTTATTAGCACCATAGTCTAACCAGCTGATCTAACCGGCCACTTCCTGCCTAAAGCACTAGAAAGCCCAGAGTAACTGTCATTCCCTGGCCTTCAAGAGATTAACATTCTATTCCAGCTTTTTTTTGTGCGGTGCTGGCAAAATAACAGATCCCACTAAAATTTGAACTCAAATTGCTGGATTCAGAGTCCAGAGTGCTAACCATTACCCCATGGAACCTTAAGCTTGTTGTGTGGTGCTGTCAGAGCTGTAGGGAATGAATAAAAAAAAAAAAAAACGGCCTTGCAGGAAAGTAGTAGAATGTCAATCCAAGGTGGTGCCAATGTGCATTGATTTCTGAGTAACTGAGTCATTCTGAGTCATTCGGCATGCAGGGCTCCTCACACGTTTACTGGAGCAGGACTAGGTAGGGCCTTTAAAAGAAAAGCGCACTATTCCAGGCAATTTGACGACTAAACGGCAGGCAGGGTAAAGAGGCCACCACAGAGCAAATGTGATCTTTTTTTTTATTTTTGACCACGCCAAAAACTACCAATTTGAATTTTTCCGAGGGGAATTAGCTCAAATGGTAAAGCGCTCGCTTAGCATAGGAAGGGGCCCAATCTTTTCGCTCACTCGCAAGCGAACAAGCCGCAAAAAAACGGAAAAAATGCGACAAATTTCACTTGCAGTAGTGTTCACGGCTTTGTGACTGTGCATAATGTGGTATTTTGGTTGCATATTGCATGTCATTCTAAATGTCATTTTTTGCGTGCTGGATTCGAACACACGATCTGTGTAACACAATATCCAATCAGTGTCGGTTTCAGCGGAGCCAATCAGCTGCGCTCTTATTGAAATTTTACTGACGTAACACAGGCAATTATATTGATATTACTATTATTATGTGGATATTGTTCTTAAAAAGCATATTACGTTAATTAAAAATGAATGAAAATGTTTTAATTAAACATATGTATGCATGTTTATGTATATATAAGTATATTATATATATATATTTATTTATTAATATATAAATATATACTATACTATATATATATATATATATATATATATATTTATATATTAATATATGTTATATTTCTTTATGTAATAACTTTAAATGAATGCACACAAAAACAAGTAATATGCAAAATGGTTTATTAAAATGAATACAAATATTAAAATCGCAAAACAATTTAAAAAATATAAAAAAACAAAATAAAAACATATCTTAATATATAAACTATATAATATACAATAAATAAAAACAATACAATATATATTTATTTATTATGCACATATAATATATTAAAACAATACTATATATAAATATATTTATTTATTATACACATTATATAAAAACAATACTCTATATATATATTTATTTTTATATACACAATATATTAAACAATAATATAAATACATAATAAAATGCAAGAGTGGGGGCACGTAATATATAAAATATAGTATTTAAGCAATGTATAAAATGTTATTTTTTTAAGAAATATAAATATATTTTTACATAAAATGCACACAAATATTAAATAAGTACACACAAGACAAAATAAGAGTGGGCCTATAAGTGCCACTTTAAAATGCTAAATATTAACACACAAAAATTAAATAAAATGAGAGAGAGAGAGAGTACCCATGTAACATTTACAAAAATATATACAGCAATTTGTCCTTTATTCTGGAGTTGAAGTTTGTCCTTTATTTTGCTGGCGCTGTTCTGCCAACCAGTCCTCTTAGGATTTGCCATTTGAAGTTTGCAGGCAAAAATGTGGCATTACCAAATCGGCTATGGCCAAACTCCTTAGTCTTTGGTTGCCCACATTTGCTGCAAACATTAAAAGTAACCGCACGCACATACTTCCTTTTGTGGACTCCACTTTCCTTCTACTGTTCCCGTCCGCGCCTGTTCCTCTGGGTGTAACGGGACACAGGAACAGCAGGCGCAGGTGGAGCAGGTGCAGGTGGAGGAACAGCAGATGCAGGTGGAGCAGGTGCAGGTGGAGGAACAGCAGGTGCAGGTGGAGCAGTTGCAGGTGGAGGAACAGCAGGTGCGGGTGAAGATGGGACTGCACTGGATGTTGGTGCAGCAAATGATGGAATCACCATTGACACACTCATGTCTGGGTTAAAAACAAGTGTGCCAAACAATGATTCAGGTCCTGAAATGGGCTGCACAACACCTGGTGCTATGGGGGGTGGTGCAATGGGGCACACCGTGCTGGGGGTTGGTGGAAAGGAGCACACTGTGGTGGGGGCAGACACAATGGGGCGCACTGTGGTGGGGGCCGGCGCAATAGGGCGCACTGTGGTGGAGGCTGGTATGATGGGGCACACTGTGGTGGAGGCTGGCGAGATGGGGCGCACTGTGGTGAAGGTCGGTGTGATGGGGCACACCATGGAAGGGGCCGGTGCAATGTGGCAGACTGTGGTGGGGGTTGGCGCGATGGGGTATACCGTCGTGGGGGCCGGTGGAAAGGAGCACACCGTGGTGGCATCTGGCAGGAAGGAGCAAACTGTGGTGGTTGCAGAAGCAGACTTTCGACCAGGTCGAAGAAGAGGTCCCTGTCCTTCTTTATTAGGAGGAAAGACAAACTGGTGTTTGGGGCCTGATGTTGATGGTGCCTCGTCCAATTTTTCCCTCGGCAAAGGAAGCTGCGTATCTGCCACAGCAATTGGATCAAGTGGAGTCAGTCCCTGAGTGAGTACACTCATTTCCTGATCCTTTTGCCTCCATTGAAACCTGATAATAAATGATATGTATTATACATATATATTAATTTAGAAGTATTCAGGTAATTTAAAGAAAATAATGTGCTTTGCTTACCACTGAATGAGCGTCTTCTGGTTTAGCTCAAAAAGCTGGTTCACTGTTTCATCCATCAGTCTGCGACTGCCAAGCACCAGATCCCGGATGTGGTGGTAATCGGTCAGTATTTTAGACCACCTGGGCGTGCGAACACCAGCCTTCTTGGAAGTGGACTTGTGTACGGCACACAGCTTTGTACAAATGGCCTCAACCAAGCGGCTGGTGCTAGGCCACTGTGCTGGACCCCCAGGATGTCCAATCAGACAGCGCTTGACGCTCTCCACACCTGGAGTGACTCCGGAGCGATTCGGTGCCTTAAAGCGCCCATGTGTCAGCTGAGGCTGATGTCGAGGCTGGTAGTTGATGCGCTGTTTATCGACATCCAGGAGAGCTGTCCACAGCTGGATGGCCTCTGTCACCTGCAGGTCAGTGAGGTAAGGAGCCTCACGAAGACCTACCAAATAAGCAGCCAGATCCTGGACCTTGTCCCACCCAGCAATGCCATCAGGTCCAATGACTACTCCCTGGTAAGTACAGAATAAATTTAGTATATGTGGAATAAAAAAAGACTAAATCAAATTAAGTTCTTTATATATCTTACCTGAGCCTCAACAGAGAGACTGTCTCCAGACTTGGATGGCTGTGACGGCACTGAGGGGGCTGGGCTAGGAAGCTGTCCTTCTCCACCAGCTGATGTGGACGGCTCAGCCAGTAATGCTGGGGACTGAGGCAGAGGCGAAGATGAGGGGCTGTTTCTGAGATCACGGCAGGGGTCATCCTCATACAGCACTGGAACTGTGATGTCCTCCATGATCTCCTCCTCAAACCCGTCATCTTGTAGATCCTCATCATCTACTTCCTCCACCAGCCTGTCTTCCTCCTCTGGGTTCTGGAGCACCGGAGTCAGGGTTTTGCCGGTCTGGCTGTAAAGGTGCTCCATTCCCAGCAATTCACCTTAAAAAAATAAAACAATAAAAAAACATATATTAAATAAAACTAATGATAAAATAAACATTTAGATTACCATTTTGTGTAGTACATTAAAAGCTTAATGAATAACTTCCATAACAACTAATTAATGGATTTCTTGCCTGTATATGCTCCAGGAGGGTGATAGCGGTTATCCCAGGGCTTGCGTCCTGAGACATATCTTTTGGTGGACAATGAGCATTGTGTTTTTCCTCTCTCTCTCCCTGCAGGTAACTGTGTCCACCTGGTAGCAATCATTGGATCTTTCTAGAGAGGAGAGAGAGTATTTAACCTGAGCTGCACTTCAAACCAGTGTTGGTGGTGTCAAGTGCAGTGGCTGAGCTTTTCTCCAAATTCAGACCTGACTCATGAGGTGAACGGATCAATTCTTTTTCCGTTTCTAAATGCGTATGATTGGCCCATGATGAACGAGTGACTCAGACCCGATAGAGGACTCAAGAGATGAACGGATCAATTCTTTTTCCAGTTCTAAACGCGTATGATTGGCCCGTGAGGAAGGAATGACTCAAACCCGATTGAGGACTCGAGAGATGAACGGATCAATTCTTTTTTTCGGCTCTAAACGCGTATTATTGGCCCGTGAGGAACGAAAGACTCAGACCCGATAGAGGACTTGAGAGATGAACGGATCAAATATTTTTCCTGCTCTAAACGCGTATGATTGGCCCATAATAAACGAGTGACTCAGACCCGATAGAGGACTCGAGAGGTGAACGGATAAAATCTTTTTCGGCTCTAAACGCATATGATTGGTTTCTGCCTTTCCGCGATGAATGACACGAAATGTGATGAAGACTTGAAATAACGATACCACCTGCACAAATGTATGCACGCGCAAATTAACAAATCACTCCCTAAGAGGACTTATAGTTCCCAAATCATATTGAAGATTCGTTTAAAATGAACGAAATGTTCATGATCGACCCATTACTAAACCTGGTTAGATACCTGCTCCAGTCAGGGATTGAACCTTGTGATCTACCCAAAGTGTTATTTATGGACATATTTCTTGAACCAGTACTGTTATATATGCATTGAGTAGTTTCTGGTGGGCAAAAATTACAAAATATAACCTTAATTTCGCTTCTTTCCTTCTCAATTTCTCAAATTTTCTTATTTTTCTTGTGCTTTTTTCTTCCCCTTCCAAAACATACTATTGTTCCCCAGCTTTAGCGGAGTCGGTAGAGGGTCCAGGGTTCAAGTCTGTGTTCGGGCATGAGAGACTCTTTGTGGAGCCACAGCTTTTGCCGTTGAGCTATCGCTTGCTGAAAGTTTCATCTGAATGCGCAACACGTGTACTAGGCATGAGGACATGGGAGAACAGGCATTCTTGTAGTCATGGCTGCGTGGTTAAGGCGATCGACTTGAAATCGGTTGGAGTATTCTCCCGCAGGTTGAAGTCCTGCTAACTATACCCACATCCTGTTCCTTTTTAAAATTGCAGCAGTCATCAATGTTTGCATTTCCATTGTTTCTTGGGAAAAGCGTTGTGCTGGTAGGAGGAGAAAAACAACAGTGTGTTCTCACTGAAGAGAAAGGGGCATATCACATGGAGGAACATACCACACAAAAGCCACAGCGGCAATCCTGTAGCTCGCTGTGATCGTATAGTGCTTAGTGTTCTGCATTGTAGCCACAGCAACCCTGGTTCAAACACGTGTCATGGCATGTTTTTCAAGGCGACATTGGTGTTGCACTCTGTGTTGCCATCCGTTATCTCCAGCCTCCTTTTAGTGCAGGCTGTGCTAATGGCACATCCTGAAGGTTTACGTTTCCTAAAGTGTGGAAGACTAGGGATTCGATATAAGAGAAATAGGATCTTTGATGCCAGCATGCTGTGTAGATAAGTACTGATCAAGTCATGCTTCTAAGGCATGGAAGGAATCTTTTCAATTGTTGAGTGTCCATTCATTGCCACAACAGCAGAAAGACATTCTGCAGTTATCATTGATCTATTTAATGTCTCCTACATGACATGAAGTCCAAACTATTGTGTTGTACTGATGTCTACACCTACAACAACCATAAACCCAACCTCAAAGTAACCTGTCGTGTTTTAGCAACATCCACACCAACCATAAGCTTAAAACCCCATCTCACGGTAAACTTTAGTGTACTGTAAAGGTCTGCGCCGACCACAACCCTAAAGCTTGCCTACTTGTAAATTAGTGTTGTGGAGCCTGGATAGCTCAGTCGGTAGAGCATCAGACTTTTAATCTAAGGGTCCAGGGTTCAAGGCCCTGTTCGGGCGTGTGAGGCCCATTTTGTGGAGCCACAGCTTTTGCCGTTGAGCTATCGCTTGATGAAACTTTCATCTGGATGCACAATATGTGTACTAGGCATAAAAAAATAGCAGTACAGGCAGTTGTGGCCGAGTGGTCAAGGCGATGGACTATAAATCCATTGGGGTGTCGCCGCGCAGGTTCGAATCCTGCTGACTACGTTTTCCCCTTTTTTAAAATTGCAGCAGTCATCAATTGTTTGCATTTCCATTGTTTCTTGGGAAAAGCGTTGTGCTGGTAGGAGGAGAAAAACAACAGAGTCTTCTCACTGAAGAGAAAGGGCCTTATCACAGGCAGGAACATACCACACAAGGCTCACAACGGCTGTCTCGTAGCTTGCCGTGATCGTATAGTGGTTAGTACTCTGCGTTGTGGCCGCAGCATCCCCGGGTTGAACCGGGTCATGTTGTGAATTCGACTTCTCATCAATTAGAAATTATCAGACCGGAGGTTTTGAATATCAGAAAATAGACTTTATTCTCCATAATAAAGCCGAGAAAGAGCAGAGCAGACCCCAGAGCATTCTGAAGTCTCTCCTGCTCCTCCTAAAGTATCTGTGTGTTCTCCATAATCTTTATACAGGTAATTATGACACACCCCTTTGTGTCTCTTTTAAACTCTTGACCATTTTTGAATAGGTTTTCTAGTCTAAGGGGTCCTGCTATTCTTGGCTCTCAACCCACTAGCTCATGTCAACAGAGATGTTACAGGTCTATGTCAGCAAAGTATAGATACAACTTATGCAAAGGAACTAAGTGTTTACATACATTGTTATGATAGGATAATAACTTGATAATATGTTACTCATTCTAACTTCTGCAACGTATAGCTTCTTACAAGTATTTAACATATATAATCAGTGCTTTACATATTCAGTTATTCTACACAATCAGTCACTCAGTTTTCTCCTAGTGTTGCTCCTGTGCAGGCATACTCATCTTACACAGTATTTTTAACACATGCTGGCATGTTTGCTGCAAACACTACATACATTTTGTGAAGAGAAAATTAACTGCTTTACACTTAGAAAATACTTCACACTGAGAGAATAAAATCTTCTTCAAATTTATATACACTGAAGAAAGACCTTGATACTCTTAATGTGGAGACGGACAAAGGTGCCTTTAATAAGGTCAAGTGGCCAGAATTTGGAGAAAATAATTCAACCTATTTTTCTTAATTCAGAAAAGAGAAGAGGTGAGCAGAAAAGGACATCAACCCTTGATATTAATGGTCACCTCATCTCAGATGAAGGAACAATATTAAAGTTTGTATATGAGTTTTCCCAGTCTTCATCCTTTTAGCCAAATTGCTCTGATCAATTATTTTGTAATGTTCAGTTATTTATTCCAACCATTAGTGACGATCATCATGATGTTTGAGAGACTGTAATAACTGTAGAGGAATTGGACACTATAATTACAGTAAACCCATTTAATAAAAGCCCAGGACCAGATGGTTTGCCATTTGAACTGTATAGGCTGTTTGGTAATGTTAAATATGTTCAAAGAAAGCTCAGATAGAGGAGGATTAGCTGAATCAATGAAGCAAGGCATAATCACACTGATCCCTAAACCAAATAAGGAGAAACCTTTTCTTGATAACTGGCGTCCCGTAACTCTGCTTAATTCTGATTATTCAATTCTCACCGCAGTATATGCTAGAAGATTAAACACATTTCACTCTCACAATCAGGTTTCATGAAGGATCGACATGTTTCAATAATATCCGTCTTGTTTTAGACCTTTTAGATTGCTCAGAGTTGGTGAATGATGATGCTCTCATTTTGTGTTTAGACTTTTACAAGGCCTTCGACGCTGTCGAGCATCCCTTCATGTAGGACGCTTTGAAGCATTTTGGCTTTGGTCAAGAGTTTGTGAGAACTGTTCAGACTCTGTATATAGACTTCACTAGTAATGTGTCTTTGCCTCATGGAGCTTCTCTACGTTTTGCCATTGGAAGAGGAAAAATCTGTTGACAATTCTTCATTCTGATATCTTAGATGTTTGTGGAATTAAGGTCAGGCACACCATCACATATTGAGGTATTACAATCAATAAATGTTCTTCTGAAAGGATCAGAACTTTTCTAAATGTTTAAAGAAAGTCAACTGTGTTTAATTGCTGGTCTCAGAGGAACCCGACTATCCATGGACGTCTTCTACTTTCCAAAGCTGAAGGAATATCAAGGCTGGTCTATCCCGCTCTCTCCTTACAGTATATGCTAATCCCGAAATGTGTACAGAGATTGATAGAGCTGTATTTCAGTTCATCTGGAAAAACAGGACAGAATATGTCAAAAGAAAAACAAAAACCTTTTCTAAAGGTGCACTCACTGTTCTTGATTTGACAATGTTTAAAATGAATTGGATGAAACATTGCCTTTACCAAAGTCATTCACTGGTTTTATATTACAAATCTCTTCTTTGACAAATGTGCTAGATTAAAACGGTTATGTTCTCTATTGTGTTTAGTGTTGGTCAACTGTGGTAGCATCTTTTAATTAGGAAAAAATATTTTATTATTATTTTTACTATTTTTATTTTTATTTTTGCTCTTTTATTGATAATTTTTCTATGTTCCTTCCTATTATGAGCCTATTGCTATTTTTACTGTTTTATGCTCACATCATGTGTTTATTTTCTCTCTGTAAAGCACTTTGTGCAGCCCTGTGGCAGTTGGA